TCTTCTATGACTTTACTGTGACCTTTATATATTATCGCCGTACAATCTCGCCTATGTACCTGCGGTTGTTAGAGGCCGGTTTCCTCTGATAGCCTTGTGCAGCGCGCAAGGGGTACATTGCGAGTGTGTGCACACTGTCTTGGCTATTCTCACATGTATGCTTGGGCACAATACATTTTTTGGTTTTTTAAAATTATTTTATCGGGGGCTCGTACAATTCTCATCACAATCCATGCATACATCCATTGTGTCAAGTACATATGTACATTCACTGCCCTCATCATTCTGAAAACATTTTTTGGTTTTTTAAAATTATTTTATCGGGGGCTCGTACAATTCTCATCACAATCCATGCATCCATCCATTGTGTCAAGTACATATGTACATTCACTGCCCTCATCATTCTGAAAACATTTGCCCTCCACCTCAGCCCTTAATATCAGTTGCTTATTCCCCACCCCCACCCCCCACCCCCCGCCATTTTGGGTTTTTAAAAGTTTGTTATTGTGACTGGGTGAAGGTGCACACAGAGCGGGTCAGTTCTCCCTGCAATGGTTCAGACACGTTGTTTCATCTCGTGACAGTGATCTCAACTCGGACCTCCCTCAGCGGGTCCCACTTCCTCCCCGTGCTCCCTGCTTCCACCCTCCTCATCCTCCTCTGACCCCTTGGAGCCTTCCCTCGGGTCAGTGCGCCCCATGGATGCCCAATGGTTGATGGGTCTAGGGAGGCTATACCTCACTAGCATGACTATTCCTTTTCGGACTGGTAGCTGTGGCAATGGGTTAACGTGCTGGGCTGCTCAGTCAGCAGTTCAAAACCACCAGCTGCTCCGTGGGAGGAAAATGAGGCCGTCTGCTCTCATAAAGAGTCACAGTCGCAGCGCCCAGAGTCCAAGCCGGTTCCTGTTCCCTCCTAGCTGTCACCCATCGCTCGTTCTCTTCCAACATGACAGATGCTGCTGTGTCCTTCACCAAGGATTTCTTGGCCGGTGGAGTGGCCACGCCATCACTGAGACTGTAGTAGCACCCATCGAATGGGTTGAGCCGCTGCTGCAGGCGCAGCATGCCGGCAAGCAACCCCCCTCCGACAGCAGTTCGAGGCATCATCCACTGTGCTCTTCCTGTCCCCGTGGAGCAGGGAGTCCTGTCCTCCCTGCGTGGTGACCTGCCAGTGCCTCTCGAGACTTACTCTCCCAGGCTCTCAGCTTCAAAGGCAAATACAAGAAGATCTTCCTGGGTGCTGTGGCCAAGAGGACCCAGTTCCGGCACTGCTTAGCAGGGAGCCTGGCATCTTTGTGCTGTGTGTACTCTACCCGTCTAGCAGCTGCGGTGAGCAAAGCTGGCGCCAAACAACCGGACTTCAAAGACCTCGGGGACTGCCTGGTTGAGATCCCCATGTCTGATGGGATGAAGGGCCTGTGTCAGGGCTTAGTGTGTCTGCGCAGGGGATTGTCACCCACCAAGCCGTCTACTTCGGCGTCTGTGACCCCACAAAGCGAATGCTCCCAGACTCCCAAGAATACCCACGTCCTATTCAGCTGGGTGATCACATGTGCGTCACGACGGGGCCTGGGTTCACCGCCTACCATTCTGACACCGGTCGTCGCCGGCGAATGATGATGCAGTCGGGGCACAAAGGCTCGGACATCACGCCCTCCGTGCGGCACGCTGGCCTGTTGGCGGGAGAGTGCTCGCGATGGAGGAAGGCAAAGCAAAGAGTTCTTCAAGGGCGCCCGCTCCCGTGGGTGCAGAGGCCTGGGTGGCACCTCTGTCCCGGTCTTGTAGGACGAAACCCAGAAGTGCACAGGAGTTATTTCTGGTGTGTGTTCCCCTGTACTCACAGGCCCCTTGTATGCTATGACGTAGCTCAAGCCTCCTTGGCAGACGGCTGGCTTTCTAGATCGAGGGCAACGATCTACTGGTGGGCAATGGGAAGCAATCATAGTCCTCTGACCAGCTTTCTTGTAAAGCCCTTGCCACGAGGCTCCTGATGGTGATGGGACTCCGTTCTATATTTTTTTAAATTTCAATCACTCCTAATAAAGAAATTTGAAGAAATGGAAAGATCTGAAAGAGTTCCAGTCTCTCGGAATCCAGCGGGCGGCGCTGTCTGCGTGTCCTTGTCGGGCCTCAGGGGTCAGAGTCAACTCGATGGCAGTGAGCTTGGTCCGGGCTTTATTGTTTGGCTGAAAATTGAGCCTCAAGGGTGAATTCAGTTCTAGATCTGAAGGGTGTCTGGGGGTCATAATCAGGGGGTGGGGGCTTCCACCAGGTTCTGTCCGACCCTTAAGCCTGGCCCTGCTTCTCTGACTTTGAGTTTTGCCCCACGCTGTTCTCCTGTTCTGTGCAGGACCTTCTGATGGGGGCTGGCTCCCTGCCAGAGAGGTTTAGATGGACTGAATCAGGACGTGGAGCATTATCTTTATGAGCTGTCCAAAGTTCGTGTTTATGTCCTCTTTGAAGGGAACAGGGGCTGGGAAGGAAGTAACATGGGGCGTCCCTGCCCCAAGCAGAGCCCAGTTCTGAGCACTGACAGCCTGAGAGGCCAGAGCAGCAGCCAGAGGGCCGGGCCTTGCAGGAAAACACGTCAGAGGGACACACAGGGGATTGGACCAGAGCCCATCCGTGCATGCTCCCCCAGGCTACCCTGCCCTGCAAGGCAAGTGGACACAGAAACGGGCAGTGTGTGGAAGATTCCTAGAGAAAATAGACCAGCCACAACCTCCTTCATCTCCTCCCTCCCTTTGTCTGTCTTTTTTTTTTTTAAATAAAAAAAGCTTTTGATATATTTCAGCCCTATCTTTTGTACTTTGATTTCTTATAGCTTTGCGATGGCATTCTAGAAACAGTTTTATTTTCTGCTGTTTTCTAGTCAGTGTAGCATCGACATGTTCATGATTGTAACATTTCCCCTGAATTATATGAGGGGATCCTGCCCGCCCCCCCACCAAAAAAAAAGGGAAGAAGCACACATAGAGGTATGTGTGTATGTGTTTGTGTATTCATGTACGTATGTGGTAGCGCTCATGATATCGTAACGTCTGCACTATTAGACATCGAGATAGTTTAATTTGGCCTATAAAAATACTGCTGTGCTGAGTGTGTTTGAGGAGGAAGCTTGCTCCGTGTGCACTGACTGGGTTGGCACAGCAGCCGCAGCAACGGGCTCAAACATAAGGACAGAGGTGAAGATGGCGCGGGACCGAGCACTGTTTCCGTCTGTTGGGCATGAGGTGGTCTGGGCCCTTAACCACAACAATGTGTCTCCTGGGCAGCAGTCAGGTGGCCTCGTAGGAATTACTCCTTACAACCTTGAATGAGCCTGGGAGCATAAAGGTTACGCCATGGACTGCTCACCTCAAGGTCAGAGGTCCGATTTCCAGCAGGGGACGGCTGGCAGACAGGGCCAGAGCATTTGTCCTCCGGAGGCCCCACTCCTTGACCTGTGTGCCTTCCAGTTCTGCGCACTGGAGGTCCGTTGTACACCCTGTACCGAACGTTCCCAATAAAAATCGGAACCAACACCTACAACAAGACTGACCCCCCCAAAAAAGCAACGAGTGTTGTTATGCTTGTTTAAAAAATTTTTAAAGCCCTCAAAATCTGGCTCCATGCTTGGGTCCGGCGGAAAGAAGACTCCGGCGTGCCGGGGAACTGGGGGACTGGGAACTGCTATTCTTTGTGTTGAAAACCAAGCCAACACAATCCAATTGATTCTATCCCACCACTGAGCGGCCCCTGGTGTTCCTGAGGAGAATCGCACCCTGCAGGGACCTTTAAAACAAACAGATGCTGACACTGTTGCTGCGAAGGCGGGTTCCAGGGCTGTGCCTATTCAGGACCAAGTGGGCAGGCCCTTCTGCCGCCAGGCCTCTGGCACCGCTGGTGCCACCCCGGGGACTCCTTGCTAAATAGACCTTTTCAACAATCTGGACATATTGCTTTGACTTAAGTAAAAAATTAAACCTAAAAAACAACACAACACAACAAAAGCGTTAAGCAAAAGCAGTGCTGCCTTTTGGGAAGAGTTTAATAAGGTTTTCTCTCAAGTCAGGCAGAATTTGAATCCTCAAACTGACAGGGCAGAAAGAGATCCGCCCCCCAGGGCCTTGGTGATGCCACAGAGGAGGAAGCTGCTCCTGGGCCGAGATAAAGCACGCCTGCTGGACGTCCATCTTTCCTAGTAGTCCGCCCCCTGGGGGAGTCCCTTCTGCCAAGTGCCAGGAAGAGAGCCGGTCCGCCTTTGCTTCAGCAACTCCAGTAGAAGAGATCCCAGCGCCGTACACGGACCCATACTCTTTTCACCCAAACTGCAGCTGGAAAAACGAGGGAAAGTAGTGTCGCTGCGTGGCCAGGATTCGAACTCCCCGTCAGTCCTTTCAAGACTCACAGAGCGCTAAGCA